AAGAATGTCAATTTAAAGGTGGAATGTCAAAGTATCTTGTTGCACTAAAAAAATAAATAAATAAATAAAAGACCCACAGACAGATACTGGGGTTCAAGCTTCAAGTCGAAGATCAGACTGAAAGACAATCCTGGCTCCACCAAACCTCAGACTGCAATTCCAGACTGCTGCAATGCTATCCCCAACATGGCTGGAGAATTCTGAGACTGACTACTGAAGACCCTGCTCCTATCTTTTATATCTCTCTGGTTCTGGAATTAAAGGTGTGAGTTCTGTTACTCTTTTAGACTGGTTCAATATCGTAAAGCCCTGGGTGGCTTTGAACTCAGAGAGTTCTATCTGCCTTTTATCTCCTGAGTCCTGGAATTAAAGGTGTGTGCCACAACTGCCTGATCTCTATAGCTGGAGACTGACTTTGCTTTCTGAATTTTTGGGCAAGCTTTCATAAATCATAAATAATGTATCACCACAGTGTCTGTCACTTATTTTCAAGTGGTTCAAAGTACTTGAAAAAGATAAATGTGGCAAAATGCTGAAAAGTCAAACTAATCTAGGTATAGTGGCACATGTCTGTAAACTCAGCACTTTGGTATGCTGAGGCAGGAGGATTACTAAGTTCAAGGCCTGTCTAGCCCACATACCAAGTTCCAAGCTATCCAAGGCTACATAATGAAACCATGTCTCAAAAATAAAAAAATTAACTAGTTATTTAGTTATAATAGAACACAATACAAAATAATGTTAAAAAAAAAAAAAAGGACAGAACACCAAGACCAAACAAACAATGAACTTTCTTATTAAGAAGTAGTTTAATTAAGTGACTGGCTAATATAGGTGGCGATTACTGGATGGGGCTCCCAGGAAGCTATTTAAAAAGTACAAAACTGAGGGAAATTATCCTTTCCTCTGTCTGCCTTTTACCCTTCCTCCTCCCTCTTCTCAGAAGGCAGACTCTGGTCAGAGCTGGACTGAGGCGGCCACTGTGCAGCCAAGAGGAACCCTGCACCGTCCCAGGCCTGGCAGTGCAGAGCTACACAGCCAACCCTGGCCTGTAAGAAAAACGGCCTCATGACAGGCCCTGGGCACTGGGAGACGTGGCCAGCTGAGTGTCTCTATGTTTTTATGGTTCCCCTCAGGCCCACAGAAACATCTAACAGCCACATTTATTACGGAGTTGGGTGTTAACACTTAACAGTATTTATGTACTAGCAACTTATTAGCTGCTTGAAAAAGTAATATTCATAAGTTAAAAGAAAAATAGTATACCTGTTTGGTTCAATAGGCAGGAGGGACACCCTAACCACTTCCCAGACCTTACAATAAGGCAGATTTCACCACACTCCCTGCCTGTTCATATCTATTGCCTAAAAGTGTAGTAAAATAGCCCAGTGTGGTGACTCACGCCTGTAATCTTGGCAATAGAAGGCCGAGACAAGGGGTAATTGCCTCACGAAAGTTCAAGGCCAGCCCAGGCTACAAAGTGAGTGCCAGGTCAGTCTTTTGAGACTCTCTCAAAGAAAACCCCAAATGTTAAATAATTAAATAACTTTAAAAATTAAAAAGTAGGCTAGCCACCAAACTCCAAAAGTTTCTCACCTCAAACCAAATTTCTGAACCAACTGATTACTAGCTTCTCAATCTTGTTGCCCAAGCTCTTAGCAACCACCACTGTCTCTATAAACTTAACCATTCCAAGTCCTTAGAGGAGAGGACTCATAAAACGCATATGCTTTTGAAGTTGATATACTTCACTTAGCACAATTTGTGCACTATAGAATGTGCCAGAATATCCTTCTTGTGGAGAATACCTGCACTACCACATTACGCCCACACACTCATCTCCTGATGGACACTTGCTTATCTTTCTGGCTACGATGAGAACGCTTTCACGAACAGGAAGAAAAAGTGCTTGCCTGTCCTGACACTGTAGCTTCACAAAGATCGCCAAAGAGACTGTAATGAAATTGACTAAGGAAAGTTTTCCCCTCAGTTAGCGCTAAGAAGTTTACCTGGTGGCCAAAGAATGCTGTGCATCTATCTCTCCAATTCCCTCAAAATGTAAAGTGTCCTAGGACTCTTTCAGTTCACTTTAGTACCCCGGTGACCTCGGGGTACCATTTGGAATCCACACCACAGGTTGCTGAAGCCACTGTTATCCGTGTTTCCAGAGTAGTGGAATATAATCCTTAATCAAGAGAAATAACAGTGTCTAATCCACACCTCCCACTAGTGTTCCCTTGTAACACCCAAAAACTTAAATTCCCTGAACACATTCACAAGAGCTGGTGCAATCACTCCAGGAACTCAGAGAAAGTCTCTTCTTACTGCATGAACTACACACTGCCCCAAAGCAATGAGGCCCTACTTTGGATAACTTTGTGTGACTCTACCTGAGCTCCACGGTGCTAAAATGTTTGGTGAGACATTATTCTTGGTGTTCTTGATGGGGTGTTTCTGGATGAGATTAACTTTACATCATCAGACTGAGGAAGGGGATTTCCCTCCTTGGTGAAGATAGACTACATCCGGTCATCCCATGGATCCCAAGGTCTAATCAGAACAAAAGGTTGACCCTTTCCCTACATGATGGGTAACCCTTTCCTGCCTGGTTGCTTTTGGACTGGAGCATTGGTTTCTTCTTCTTCTTCTTGCCTTTGGACTCACACTGAAATACTGGCTCTTCCTGAGTCTGGAGCCTGCTGGCCTTTGGACATGAACTCTATCATTGGCTCTTCTAGTTCTCAGGCCCTCAGCTCCAGCTGGAATTAAATCACCCACTCTCCTGGGCCACCACAATCTCATTATTAGCAAATTCCTTATAATAAGACTCTTTCTGTGATTTCCCTTTCCCTCCCTTCCTTCCTCCCTCTCTCCCTTCCTCCCTCCCTCCCTCTCTCATAAACATGCTCAAGCTCTTTTCCTGGGAGCTTCCACTGGTATTCTCTGAGTTACATGCTGTCCCAAGGTCAAAGCAGCCTCACACATCTCCACTTCTTGGTGAGTCACTCACGACTCTTCGTATGTTACATTCCATTTACTGTGGCCCAGCATCAGCTCTTCTAGAACTCTACACCTGAAAGCCACTTGGAGCCAGGCAGTAATCAGAACAACCCCCCCCCCATCTCTTCATCCCTCCAGGCTTGGGTTGTGTTTTTCTCCCCACCCAAAACAAATGCTAGAAAGCTCCCTCATGTGCATACATGCCAAACTAGTTCGTGCATGAACATACTCACACTCCCTCATACATGCAGCTAAGTTACAAGGCTAGCACCTCACTTTCCAAATGTGTGCTTAAGATATCCTACTGTCCTCCTAGATCCCCCTATCATGAGGCCATGGAACCCTTTCAAAAGCTGCCAGATGGAGCTAGAGAGATGGCTCAGTTCGTAAAGCGCTTGCTCTGCAAGCACGGGGGGGGGGGGGGTAGAGGGGGGGGATTGAGTTTGGATTCCCTCCAAAACCTATCAGAGGGATTTGATAGGAAGAAGCAGCACTTGATCCCGTGAGCACTTGGCCTAACGTGACAGACTATTAGGGAAAGGGCCTCCAGGGAAACTGTACCTGAACTTAGACATGAGTACCTCTAGGAGAGCAAACAACTCTAAACAGAAACTAGACTAAAGGTAAATAAACAAGGAAAAAGATAATAAGAAATACAAAAGCTACATGTATGTTTACTGTTATGGGTTGTTTGTTTGTTTGTTTGTTTTTCTTGTTTTGTTTTTTCAATTTTTCAAGTCAGGGTTTCTCTGTGTAGCTTACAGACCAGGCTGGCCTCAAACTCACAGAGATCCACCAACCTCTGCCTCCCAAGTGCTGGGATTAAAGGCATGAGCCACTACTGCCTAATCTGTTTTGTTTTGTTAATCTCTTCATTGTGCCAAAAAGCACCAAAATGTACAGACACCAAGGCAAACAAGTCTTTGGCTACGTGTCTGTTATAAATCATTATTCACCAGCCTGGAGAGATGGCTCAGCCGTTAAAAGCTAGACTCACAACCAAAAATTTATCATTACTCACCTTGATTAGCTGGATAAGCAGCTGTTCAGAAGCCTGCTACTAACTCTACTGAGCAGGACAAAAACTTTTAATATAAACATTTAATACTAAATGATAAAATCCCTAAGGAATACACACAGTGCTATCTTACATAAAAAGCTCTAACCTAAACACAAATGCCATCTGCAACATAAATTCATTAAGTCTACACCAGCTGCTGGAGAAAGTGTCATTCAACTACATTATCAGTCCTCAATAACTACCTTTTAATTTTAAATATAAGGTAACCCAATCACTACTGAGTTAAAAGCACATTCTGTGTTTCAAATTAACCAAGTTTTCTAGCCCCTCTCAATTTTTAAATACATATTTATTATTCTTGTTGGGGACAGGGCTCATCAGTAGAACAGTTGCCTAGCTTGCCGCTGTGAAGCCATTGTTTCAATCCCCAGTATAAAGGGGAATGGGTTATGCATTATTCCAGCTTGATTCCCTCTGCTGATTTCTCTCTTAATTTTCTTATTTATATTTACTTACTCCTCATTTTACTGGTTATTACAATGTCTCCCTTTTAATCCTTTCCTCCCAAGCACAGCTTATCTTTTAATAGTTCTAACACCAGCACTGGTTCTGGTTCAGGCCTGTCCTCCACAGCCTGTAGAATCCACCCCACCACCCCCCAAAAGCCGTGGCAGAACCACATGCATGCAGAACACAGACGTCATCACCCTGCTCCTGGCCTCTTGCCATCGCCTTCCTCACTATTCCCTTTTTAAGCTGACCTCCCTGCTTTACCTTCCAGGATGCCACACACTATCCCTAGCACTTATCCACACAAACACAAAGTACACACCCAACCCCTTACCAAGCATGAGACCTTCAACTTTGACTGTGATGCTGAATTATATATTTTCTACAGAAGTCTCTGGAAGTGAACAGACATGGAGGGAGGGAGATAAAACATTCCCATTTTTAAAAGATGCCAAAATTACAATCCTACCTTTCTCGGGATTTGAAGAAAAGTGCTCTCCAAATTCTTGCTGTTTGTGCTTTACAGCAAGTGAGGCTGCTGTCAGGCCACTGGCCTGAGTGGCCTGAAATTGAGGCTTCCCATTGGTGAGTAACTGTCTCCTGGGGCTCAGGGCAGGCAGATGGAGGGGGCTCACAGCCATGTTGCTCTGAGGAGCCATCCCCGCTCCCGAGGACATCTTCAGGTGGAGGCTGTTAGCGAGACTTCCAATAGCAGGGCTGGGTATGCTGGCATAGGATGAGGGGCCTGTAGTGCCTGAGTGGGCTCTGATAGGAGGAATGTGTTGACCAGTGAGCAACCCAGGCCCCTGCGGGGTTCTTGATGTCCGATGCAGACTCATGCCACATGACCTTCCATTCATTCTGAAAGCCCTGAGGCCAAGATGGTCCCTATCCAACAGCACTACTGATTCATTCAAGGCAAGTCAAGTAACTTATCCATGGGATAGGTGATAAGTCTGTGTAAAAACAAAAACAAATACAGGCGTTGGGAAAGGTAAAACTGAAAATAAGATATAGCAAATTTTCAACTTGTACAGCATTTATATCAGGACAAAAAGAAACACAGTTGACAAACTCTCCTCTTAAATAGAACACGGCCATTAAAACATAGCTCTTTGGCAAGGACTTTACTTCTGCATTCATGGGAGGCTTGGATTATATGGGTCACTGCATTGTTCTGTTTGCTACTGTGCCCTTCTCAATATGGTGCTCTTGGCAACTACCACCAGTCCACTGGGGACTGCTTGCTAGGGAAACTTCCTCTATTCCCAGAGGATCTGTCCATACACTTCATTTTCCTGTCTTTAGAAACCCAGAACACTGGCCTCTGGGAGCTGGGAGACTAAACTTCTGAAGTTTCCAGTCAGCAAATACAAGGCCAACATGATGTTCATTCTAAGAGGAATATTTCATAGTACCCAGGTTTGCAGATGAGAACTCTAGGCATGGGGATTTTAGTTTTCATAAATCCTCATATTTAAATACTTAACAGCAGCATCAAGACCTTAGATCCATATTGATCCTGAGTTATGCAGTTAGAAAAGCAAGGCAGGTGTGTGTGTGGGGGGGGCAGGTTGTCTCAGAAAGGAGAGAACTATAAACAATACCTCCTGAAAGCACAGGAGAAAAGGAACTCTTAAATGTGGGGTGCCAGTGTGTTCCCAGAAAGCCTACTGTATTCAGTATTACTGTATATACCATTGTGTTAGGGAGCAGAAAAAAAGTACAAATGAGTGTGTCCACAGAGTGTCCCTCTACTTGTATGTGATGACATCAACACTCCCTAGGTCTAAATCACAAAGGAAGGCTCCCCCACCCCGAACAACTCAACTCCAGAGTAGATCCAAGTAGATGACCAAGTGACACCATGTTGCCTCTACTGAATATGTCTGAAACAGCTACTATGTGTCTTTTATAGAGACAAGATAGTCATAGGAAGCAGCTATGGCTGAACAAACACAGGAAATGAAGACTGAGAACAAGTCAATAATATCCATATGTCCTCAATAGGATAAGTCTCAGGACTTTTCCCCTCTATGATCCACTTGAGGTATTGAACGAACATTTTCAACTCAAATCCAAAAGATACAAAAAGAAATGACTGAACCAAGCATCATGGGAAGGCTACTCAGGAATATTGTTTTCTTTCACCATTTTAGGAAACAGAAAAAAATACTTAAACGTTCACTGCTCTTTCCATAAAATTTCCAGGAGTGCCTACGTTGAGGCACTTCGTATGTGATTCAAATGTGAAATTTGTCACTCTGCTTTGCCAAGAATCGCATCCTTTGATGACATTGGCTTTGCCAATCGGAAGAGCCACTCCCTCTGTCATACCACTGCCACTCGTACCCCCCCCCCCCCGCCACTGCAGGTCCCACGGAAAGACAAGTCCAAGGTATCCAAACCTGCATGACTGAATTCCCTTACGAAACAGTAAGAACAGAGCTTGCTACCAAACTGGTCCTGAGCCTGTTCCTTCACTATGGAAAACTCCCCACACACTGCCTGTTAGGAGTACATCTGTTGTGTGCTCACCGAACTACACTGCACCACCAACCACTCCCTTCATCCACTGATTGGCTGATCTTGAGCAAGAATCAAAATCATTACCCATTCTTCACTCATTCATAAAATAGTGGCTTCTGGGCACTCTGAACTTTTAAAGAAAGCATTTATTCAGTAACCACCAAAAGGGGGGAGGCAAATAAATATGCCATATTGGCAAGTTTTTTTGTTTTTTTTTTAATGAACAACGGTCCAAAATGACTAGATTTCTTGACTGTGCTCATTTCTGTTTCGTTTTTATTTTTTTAAAAAAGTAATTCTTGCACCAGCATCATATACAAATAGTTCTTATCAAACTCTGTACCAAAAACACATCTCTAAGTATTCCAGCATTAGGCTTGGTCATTAAGGCCTATAAGAAGGAAGCTGGGTGGTGGTGGCACATGCCCTTAATCCCAGCACTTGGGAGGCAGAGTGAGTTCCAGGACAGGCTACAAAGCTACAGAGAAACCCTGTCTCAAAAAAAAAAAAAAAAAAAAGACTTGCAAGAAGGAATGTGAGGAACCAAGAATAACACACTCATAACAATATAACAATATGTTGTATATGAATTATTTATTTTGCTTTACTTTTTTATAAATTGCACTCCTGATTGAAACGGGTTTAAAGAAAAACCGAAATGTACTTAAATTTTATAACTGAGGAAAAAGCAGCCAGAAAAATGAAAAAAAAAAAAAAAGAAAAAGAAAGAAAACAGGTGAACAGCATTAAGTTAAGCAAAACCACCCATGAGATATAAAAACAAAGAAGGGAGGGAGGGAGGGAAGGACAGAGGGAGGGAGGGAGGGAGGGAGGGAGGGAGGGAGGGAGGAAGGGAGGCTAGAAACTTCATGGGGAAAAAAATGTAAGATGAAAAAGAAACTATATAGGGAAATATGGCTAAAATTAAAGTTTTCAAATAAATTATGTCAACAATCTTTTGAGCATTAGGTACTCATATCTAGAAATCAATTTAGTTTACTCACAGTATATTTTATATACTTCTGAGCTAAAGCCATTGATCACAACATCATTTCAAGCCCACAGGGTAGTAAAGTAGGAATAAACCACTTAACTCTAGGAAAAACTCATGTTCATTGAGATGCTCTGAAGAAGACAAGGAGGAAAGACCTCGTCACAAGCTCCCTGGACTCGGTTCTCCACAAAAGACAAATACAGTCACTAGGACTCTTGACATTGTTTTTCCTAATACTTTAGATTTGGAATATTATTTTTAAAACACTCATGTACTATAGTGACAAATTATTATGTAGAATCTATTTCCCTATCAATTAAAGCTAGAGGGACTGTGTAGACACAGAAGTAAAAACAGTGGTGTTCATTAGCAGGCCAATTAAAGCAATGTTGGGGGGGCCAGGCCTCCCCTAACACCATGGTCAAAGACAGCACTAACCAAGAACAATGGAATACAGCACTAAATTTATATTCTGATAAGAAAATAAAAACCACACCTACTCATCTCCTAAAGCTGATGAGGAAAATTTCACCGAAAGTCCTTCTTTTTTAACAAAGATGCATTTACTTATATTTTATATGTATTAGCGTTGTATTTGCACCATATGCCTGACCTGTACCCAAAGAGCCCAAAAGAGGATGCCAGAACCCCTGAAACTGGAGGTACAGGCAGTTGTGAGCTGCCACGTGGATGCTGGGAACTGAACCTAGGTCCTCTACAAGAGCAGCTATAGCTTCTAACCACTGAGCTCTCTCTCCAGCCCCCTCTTTTCATTTAAAAATTTTCACAAGCTTCTCCTCTGTCTCCTCAAGACTACCAACAAAAGAAAAAAGAAAAGAAAAAGAAAAAGAAAAAGGAATTTTAAAGGAAAAGGTAAAGAGCATCCAGAAATATATATTTCAAGTTTTTCATATGTGACATCTTGCCATATTTAGATTTTTATGCCCCACTGGATCTCACAGTGAAAATGTTCACTCACTCTACTAATGAGTTACTAAATCTTTCCTTTTGACCATGTTCAAACTCTTAAAACACACTCCCATAATTCGTGTGAGAGAGGAAATGACTGAACCCCTAAGGAAACTAAGGTAGAAAACAATTTAATAATGCCAATCGTTTTCCAGGAAAGCATTGACTTTGATCAAAATATAAAACCATGACTCCACCTTTTTCTTCCCAGGGCTCCTTGTGTATTAAGACATATTAAACAAAGGAAAGCAATGTTAATGCATGTATTCAAGAAAATTCCAGAAACAAGCTCCATAATGCCTATTTACAGCCAAAGGCCCTTTCCTAGTAAATACCATTAATAGACTCATCTAGAGTCATAATTCATCTGATGAGCCAGTTAATTATTAATTTTCATACATCATTTCATTTCCTTAGATACATTTAGCCTTTGTTATATTTTCCATGCCTTATGCTGAGAGCATTTCTTACCCTGAACCCCTCTCCCTCCCCCCCCAAAAAAGAAAGAAAAAAATCCTGTTAATGAAGCACAAATAATGGTCAGGAAACAAAGTGATCCTGAACATAATCATATTTAAATATACGCATATAAGTAAATGTGCGCACTCATTTACAGTGTGTGTGTGCATGTGTGTGTAAACCATCTATGAGATGTTACTATTTGTCTTTTTCCCCTTGTGGGTTAATGATTGTATAATTTCATTAAGCTCCGACATTTCAACTTCACTGCCTTCATCGTTTAATAGGTCCATGCTACTCTCCTGGGCTTCTCCTGTTACGGCTTTTTTTTAGCCAGAAGAATATAGAAACGAAACCTATTGATGGACAATGCAAGGTATTCTTGTGCACGGCTACAGAGTGAAGCAGAGATCTGGCAGTTTAATCAAGGACAGATAGAGCTGGGTGTTCTTATACCCCAAGAGTTCATTTTAATAAGCAGAATGTACCTTGTTCTAACACAGGCGACTGACTCCTCAGTAAAGACTGTATAAACAAAAACCAATCATGTAAGTCATTTTATTGGCAACAATATAAACACAGCTATATTAGATGTCACCAATAAATCAGAGTGATTCTTGTCTGCAATTTCAACAAGAGGAAAGTGCAAACATGAGCCCATGAAGCGGGAGAGGATATTATGGAGGAAATATATCGGATGTGAACAGTATCATTTCTCTAGACCCAAACTGGAAGGTCCTCTATTATGATGGATAGATCCACAGAAGGACATAGTTGATTGTCTGTGTGGGTTCCTAACTGTATGCACTGAAACCAACAAAGTCACAGAAGTTTCATAAATAGAAACTCGCATTTGAGGAGCAGAGCGAAAATTCAAGAAGCTTAGAGATCTCTTCACTCAAGTCTTCTCAAGGCCTAATGAAGATGGTAAGAACATTACCACATTTATTATAAACATTAGTATGTACTGACGTTGAACACTACACTCAATGGTAAGATGAAATC